GGCAAGGTCACAACCGCACTCGAATTCAGCCATGATTCTAAATATAACACGATACAGTGATGGCCTGCACCTTATCTTGTATTCTTTTCGAAGACCAGTAAATAGAAGGATAGAGCAACCAATATTAAGGGCAATCTCTGCGACATTAATGATTCATAGGCATTTTACTATGGAAGAGCCCGTTCATTCAGGAGCTGGGCCCATGATGCCGGCGCCCCCTGTTCCATCGATGCCACAACCCATACGAGTAGATATCGTTGACAGCAATTCAGGTCAGAAACTCGGTAAGTGGCTCACTTTTTAATTGAATAAATCTATGAATATCTCATGCCTACCATGACTAGGAAAATTATTGATTTCTGGGCTGAAAGCGATTCGCGAGAAACATCAATTTTTGTGAAGGTTTCGCTTTTGTAAGAAATGAGCCTTCTAACTTGGACGTGCAGAGAGAATCGTTGAAAGATCACTCGCGAAAAATTGTGCGATGATTTCAGAGCAACACATACTACAGTATCCAGAACTTTTACCTGGGCTTTGCATGGTCCTATTTCCTTCAAAAGTTGTATTCACAGGATGATTAAATACGATTTAATGAAGAATGATGAAGTATTGTGAAAAGAAGCGGCTTTTAGCAAGTGAGAACCTTGGAAGCCCATGTAGTTATAGGCTACATTAAAATCTGTTTCAGAGCCTTATACCTTAGAACTTGTTAGATACGTAGAGATCACTGCAAAAGTTCGACAAAATCCCACGAGCGCCAGACTTACGCTTTCAGCTGGCTCTCTTACCATTAAAGGAATCTTCCACGGACCATGGACCAGTGGGCGGGACCGGAAGTTTTTGTGACGAAATGCATGGTAGGTACGGATCCACGTGTCGAACGCACGAACGTGAATTCACTTCAAACCTTCCCATGAACGTGGATCCGTACCTACCATGCATTTCGTCGCAAAACCACTTCCGGTCCCGCCCACTGGTCCATGGTCCGTGGAAGATTCCTTTAACTTCGACTGAGATCACGAGAAAGCTTCAAACTTCAGATCTTTCAGGTACTCATAATATGGTTCCGATAGCTACGGTTGGATATCAGCAAGCGGGAGTTCCACAGTATTCGATACAGTATCTAACTTTCGACGGGAATCTAGCACCGTACGGTCGGTGTTATTTTCACGAATTTTAATGTGGTGAGAAATGTGCTACCGAGAATTCTATTCTTCATCATTTCTGGCTGTTTTCGGTTGGGCTCTCCCGTATCTGTTGAGTAATATTAGTAGGGTACATTTTTGTAGGAAGCGAGTTCTACTTCACATCGTATTAACCACAACGTCAGGGGGGGGGGGGGAAGGAGGGGATTCGTACTTGTGGAAAGAGCCAAGCGTATGGATAGAGTTTTGTCAGTTTTGACGATTTCGTCAAAACTTTAGGAAGGACGCATGAAGTGAGTGGACAGAATTAGGATATACCAGAGTTACTTAAAGGCACGCTCCGTCTTAGGCGCGCTCGCCTGTTCCATCCCGGGGGTAGTAAGGCGGACAAGCGTTGATGTCGCGCCCCTTTTGCCGCTTGAAAGTGCGCGACAAAGGCGCAAGGAGCTCGTCCGACCCGCAACTCACACCTTCGTCCGCAAGCCCCACCCTCCGCTGTCGGTTGCCACGTGGCGCTGCTTGAAAAGCGCGGGCGCATTTGAGGCAGCGGTCCCATTGCGACCCAATGTCATTGGCACTGGAGCAACTAGAGTTAGGTTCGTGAAACTCGTCCAACGCGCCCTTCTCTATCAAGGTGGAATGAAATAGGGGAGGTCTCTGTACGGGGCGTAATCGGTGGTTTCGTTTGCTTTCCCCTTCTTATCCAGACCACCTCACACCTCCATACTGGAGTGGATAGGGGTCCTGATCAATGTTACAACACGTGAAGTTTCAGTGGCAGTGGCGCCTTATCAACGGAGTGATAAGGCGCCGAAATCCACTTCCGTTCAGCAAAAACCAAGACTTATCGATGTGGAAAGGGGTGCGATAAGAGCGTGCTAGATATGATACCGTTATCGTTATCGTCCCGTTTTCATTCTGGAGTGCACCTCTTATCAAGCAGCCGCACCTTCTTATCTCATCGTATCATATCTTCCCATGGGCTTACACTCGTCCAACAATTACTGCCTCACACCTTATCGATTGATAACGCGAGGGTAGCAAATCCAGCGTGGAAGCCAGCGTGATCGCTTCCTTTAGGTTTAGCATGTTTATGTTGTTCAATTTCATTTCTGCACATGCGAATCCATAAAACCTACACATAACGATAACGACAGCTCTGCTACATGAGACCCTTTTTCATTTTTTTCTCCCAGTTTGAATAATTTATCTAATTCCAGGGAGCAATACAGTTTACCGCGAACCACATTCTCTAATCTGGTTATCCAATGCAGTTAATTCAGTTCCCTCACTTTGCTTTTCCTAACAATGGTATTTATGGGAGACCGATGAAAAAGCATTGAAATCACGTATGTATATGGATTCATAGAAATTGTGCAGCCGTGCTTCGGGAAAGGACTTTGAATTTAGTGCTATTAATTGTTAACAAGCTTTCCATTCTTTGATTGCGCCTATAATAAAATATTGATACTAACTAACATTTGTTTTT